GCAGATCCATATAGCACAGGCTGATTTTTAAAATCCGCACATACGTACATATTAGCGTTAGGGTTAGGAATTATAGATGAACAGTATAATATGGTTTTAAAATCGGGCTGTTATACCTGATTTGCTATAATTTCTAAGTTATATTAGTGTCAATATATTTGATTATTCATTGGCATTGGACGCATCACCGGACATTGGAAAACTATCCGAATTGACCTATGTAATATTATCGGACATTGTTCAATCCCAACTGCAATTGTACCTCATCGGACACTGGACACAACGTAGGACAATTTGGAAATATCCGATGTCTGGTAGAAAAACACCGGATATATAACTTGCCCAACCCTGATTTACACAGTTATTTTAAAAATAGTTAATTATGAAATTTTATGTGAAATTTAAAAAAAAACCGACCAACCGAATCTACTTAAAAATTTCATGTTATGAATATACATGCCGCACAAACTACAAATCTTTAAAATCCCATGTGGAAAAATCCCAAATCCCTAGTTCCAAATTCTAAATTTTAAATCCCTAGTTCCAAATTCCAAATTATAGCAAATTACTTATTTGAATCCAAATTCTAAAGCAGATTAACATTTAAAAAAAATTAATATCTTAACTAAAAAACTATGATATTTACTATTATCTTTAGAATCTGGAGTTTTCTAAAGAAAACCTTTCCTTTACTAAGTTAAGCTCTTTTCAACTTCTAAGCAAAGGTGTAAAAGAGCATCTTGTGATCAGAATGGCAGTTAAAATGTTAAAATTAACCCAATAGATCACGAGATATAAGCATTTTAGTCTTTACAATTATATGTTTTCTTCTTTATATAAAGAAGAAAACATATAGTTGTGAAGACTAAAATACTTATATCTTGTGATCTACTAGACTGATTTTAATGTTTTAACTGCCATGCTAATCACATGATACTCTTTTACAAATTTGCTTAGAAGTTGAAAAGAGCTTAGCTTAGTAAAGAAAAAGTTTTCTTTGGGAAACTCCAAATTCCAAAGACAATAATAAATATTATACTTTTTACTATATTTTGTTACTAGTTTTTAGGCAGACTATGAATTAAATAATTAAGATATGAGCTGTAAAATTAAGGTATTAATTTTTTAAAAATGTCAATTTGGAGATTTGGAATGGTGGGATAATATTTGGATTTGGAATAATATTTGGTAATATTTGGGATTTGAGATGATATTTGGGATTTGGGATAGATTTGGGATTTGGAATTTGAGATTGGGATTTGTCTAGTTTGGGCTTATGGGATTTCAAATATAATTGGAAAATCTTATTTGTTCAGGTTTGTCTATGAAAAAATCTCAAATCCCAAATGTTTGTGTGACATGTATAGCTATAAAATGAAGTAATTAAATTTATATAGTTTTATTATTAAAATTTTTTTTATTATTTTATATAAAAGTTATATATTAGTATTAGCTTGATAGTTTTTTTTTTTGCACTAAAAATTTGTTTATTATTTAATTATTATTAGATATATACTGTATATACTCTATATTTTTTAGGGCATTAAGATAAGTTCTTTGGTCTAGGACTTTTTATTAGAAGTTTAATTTCAGTTACAATGAGGATACATCAAGCTATATATACACTTTTGGTGTCTAATTTAAGTAGTTCACCTAAAGGTTCTATACTATCTGTCATATTTATAACCCAATTATAAAGTTATCCATTTAAACCCTCTAACTATAACCTAATTTCAAGCCAATAAAGACTTCTAATTTAGATATTGCTTAGCACACTTAAGTGTATTTTGCATCTACCAATTGGATTTTGCACTCTACTTTAGAACACTCTATTATTCTTAAAGAAAATCTACTAGAGTTGTATGTGTTCATCTATGTATTCATCTAGATTTTTTAATAATATATACTATTGCTTAATTTATACACTTGGAAGTTACCCCTACTATCACCTATTACTGCTTTTAAAGATTTATTTTCTTGAATCTCAGTACCTGTTTTTTATTATCTTCATCAATTATATCTTTGATTTTCTCAAACTACCAATTTAGTTGGCCTAGCAAAATTGGTTTGTCTAGACTTTAAGTACTTTATAGTCTTTCTTCTCTTGGTATGTACTTATCTTTTTTTTTAATATGACTCTGGTAGCCAGTTTAATAGATCTCATTTCAAGGATCTTGTATTATCTGATTCTTCTAATTTTTAGTTTTGTTTAAATTTGTTTCATAGTATTAGTAATGATTTTTACTACTTTTATTCAGGTCTTGCCAAGCCAGTTTTGGATTTTCAAGTTTTCTTTATTGGTTTTATATGCTTTTTGTTTTTTGTACAATCCAAATATTACACAAATATTTCTAGAATCTTTTAATACACTAGTGGCACTAGTGTGACTAGAGTTATAAATAATAAAATCTAACTTATTAATGAAAATCCATTACTATAACACAAGTAATTTGTTCAAACTATTATTAGTGAAATTTGAACTTGGTGCCTTAGTTACAAGCTAGCTTGGGGGTGTGACAACTGTATATACTCTATATATTTATATAAATATATATAGCTAAATAGTGCATATTATTACAGTATATAAGCTTGTAACTATATTGTCTTTATACAGTATCGACTTGATTTTTTTTTATTACAGCACTAATAATAAATATTAATTCAGTATAACTCCAACTCTTGTTTTTAAAGAATTGTTTTAAAACTTAATTACAAAAAACAAAATTATATATAGTAGCTCTAGTTATTTAGAATTAATCCTATAACTTTTTTTGTCCAAATATTTCATTGTTTTTTTTTTGCCAAATCAAAATTCTCTATTGTTGATTTATTTTTTATATTGCAAGCTCATGATTTTGTCTTTAAGGTTCACACACTCTTTTTGGATTCTTTGATAAGATTGATACAGTATACACATATGCAAGGATAGACATTTAAGTTTATGCTAAAAATATTTTAACTATTCATCAAAAAAACTTGTCTATTGGTTTATTTGCTTGCTAGGCTCACAATATTTACGATTCCGTCAGTATCACATGGTGTTAATGGTATTTCAGCTTCCTTCAATGAAAGTACGATTTAGATCATTTTTGAGTCTCAGACCCTAGGATTTCATTATATACATGTAGCAAAAAAAATCCAAATATTCACTAGTGATAAATACAGTAGTATGTTTCTTTTACTAGTACTATTCTTGGCTTTATTCTAAAGAATGTTAAAAGATTCTTCTATTACTAGACATAACCTCTCTAAATTTTATATTATCATCATAGCCGTATCAGTATGTAATTTCATTTCTTTGTTCTAAATTATATGTCCTTGTCTAACATTAGCCTATTTATATAAATTACAGAGTTATTGTCTAATTTCCGGATCATTAAGGGTAGAAGGAACAACAACATAGGTAACACCTTTTCAATAATTTTCGCTATTTTGGCTAATAATGTTTGCCTTTATATTTACTTTTTGTGTTTTAATATTCAGCAAAGTGCTCCAATAGAGTAATTCTCTCTTATAAACAATAAATATAATACGAATAGTTTAGAGTCACGCAAACATACCTCTAAGAATCTTTGGTCTTGGCGAATCTTAAAATTTCTTGAAAATGATAACCGAAACAAATCAAGTCTCGAATCCTTTAAATAGAAGATGAAAAAAAAGTTTTTACTGAAAACTTTAGCGGTTTTAGGATTGTTCAAACTGAGTGACGCCAAGGGAAAACCAGACTTTGGGCTTTTAATTTATGATTACCAGACTCGATTGTGACATATTTTTCAAGGATTGAAAAGCCCGAAGTCTGGCGTCTCACATATATAGTTATAATATTACTCAATATATTGATATAACGTTTATAGCACTTGAGTATTTATTTATCAAAAAAATAAAAAATACATTAACCGATTGAGAACTTTTTTAGAAATAGAGATACTATTATTAATTTTTTAACATGTATGCTGTATACAAGAACTTTTATTAACCTCTGGTCGCGAAATTTCAATTCATATACTGTATTTAATAACTATTCAATGAGGCTAATTTTCGAAGATACTCTGTACACATGGATCTTCGTAACGATAATACTAAACAAAATCTTAGGACAATCCAGTTTCAACCTGGAGTAAACCCGCTTCTCAGAAACGTCAACGTTTAATGTTAACTGTATAAAATAATATATATATAATATTTCTCAAAGCAGCACAAGTGAGAATAGTATTTGTATACAGTATTTCTACCGGTTATCCTTGAATGCATACTTAGGTGCACGTTATGTCTGTCCTAAAAACGTGCACTTATGGAGATTTTCATGGTATATATGTCGTGCGTCAGATTAAAACTTGCGTCAGATTGCAATCGGCCTAAGTTAGATTAGGGTTAGGGTAAAATTTCGGTAAAGTTAGGAGTTTTTTTAGGTCAATTATTGCCGATCATTTAATGTTGGTCAAATGATTGAAATCTGACGCAGGTTTTAATCTGACGCACAACATATACAGTACTAACAGCTAATTGATTGAATTCAAAAAAGATTGATACGTATAAGTTATACGTATTTCAGTCATTTAACACAATTATGGACACAATGCATATTTAATATATTTCAGTTTTTCAAAATCGTTAATATTGTTAATTTTGTTATACAAATAAGGCAATACTTTGTGTTTGATATGTTTGATATTTGCAATAATATAAATTAACAGACAATGTCGAGATTTCGTTATTCAGGCTGGGCCCAACTTTTTTTTTTTATTTCGTTAATCATATAGTATAGAATTAATATAGAAAGCTTTTTTAAAATGCCTCTTAAAACTAATAAAGTTGCGCCGCCTGGTGCGTTATCAACTGGTTTTGCTTTTCCTTCACCAAATTCGCAAGTTGAAGAAGGATTCAGACATAGATCAAATGGATCACCTACATATGATACTCAAAAGCAGACGTTAGGAAATGCTGGTAAGTTTGACTGGAAAACATTCTTTAAATAATTTTAGTAACATAATTTATCATTACGATTGGCATCTTTTTAATAACCTTATACTCAATTCAATATAAAGATATCTCAGAGAAGTATCCACCAAATCCACCACAATCACCAACCAACATTCAACCATATGTTGGTTTAAGTGGTAGATTATCTCTCGCTTGGATCACATTCCCGATAATAGCATTACTTTTTATAATCTTTCGTCTCATTATAGTAATGGGTTCCATACAACCTCTAGTTGATGAGGTCAAAGAAAAGGCGCTTAGTTCATGTAATTCCCTTGAACTTGCAACTTCAACTCTAGTATCATTACCACATTTCACGGCTGATGGATTTAACCGTGCAACAGTTGATAGCATCAATTTGTCAATTAAAGGGATTTCAAAAACACTGGATTTTGGAATTCTTGCTCTCGAAGGTATTATTGTTTGGATAATTCATGTATATAGAAGTACTCTTAAGTGTCTATTGGAATTAGTTATAAGTGGTTCGGTAAGCTCAGTGGCCGAAGCCGTAAAAGTTTTACAAACATTTTCTACTACACAACTTACAAATATAAAATCTGGAATCGATAATGATATTTCTTCTGCAAATGCTGCTCTTAACCCAATCCGAACTGCTATTTCTACCGCTGGAGCTCTTCTTGGAGGAATTAACGTTCCTAACATTACAATTCCATCAGCAGATGCATTAAATTCTTTCGTACTTCCGTCATCAAATAATGTAGCAGGACTTGATGCATTGAGTCAAAATTTAACCATTACGGATATTGAAACAACATTAGATAATATCGTGACCATTCCTTTTGAACAATTAAGAACTTTGATTCAATCAACAATGTCAAATTTGACTTTCAATCAATCATTATTACCAGTTCCACCGTCAAATAATTTAAACTTTTGTGCTAATAGTTTGGACCTTAGTATTCTTGACCAAGTATCACATGACCTTATCAAAGCTGCGACAATTGGAATAGCCATAATCTTTTTAATTGGTCTTATAATGATTTTGTTTAATGCATTTTATATATGGTTTTCTTACAAGCGCTTTATGTTAAATGTTAGTCGTACTGCTACCACAGCTCAATTAATAACTGTAAATTCAAGTCAAGAATCAATATTAGATATTATAAAAATCGCCGAACATCCATTATTATCACGGTGGATCATCAAAACATCAAGATTTTTTAAGAGAACTGAAAATCAAAATCTGTATCGATGGTATTGGGATTACATATTATACAAACCAGCACTCATATGTTTGACAATTGGAATCGCTGGAGTGTTGGGAATATATATACAAATAGCTATATTGAATATAGTTCGACAAAATTATCATACACCTATTCAACAGGCGATAAGTGCATTTGGTAATAATGTATTGAATTTAATTAACTCACGATTGAATAATACATCACAACAATATGCAAATGGAACCAATTTTGTAATATCAACCTTGGAAAATGGGATTAATCAAAATCTACTGGAATGGGTGAACACCACGACCACAACGTTGAACAACACTCTTAATACAGCAATTGATGATATTTCTACACTTATACAAAATACATTCCAAAGTGTACCTGCATTAATAACACCAGTTCAGCAAGTTTTGAATTGTTTGCTTTTTGCGAAAATAGAAGGAATTCAAGCGGGACTAACTTTTATCCAAGATCATGCGGTTATTGAATTACCCCGAGTGAATGAAAATATTCTGATGGTTAATCCTTCAAGAATGCAAGAAGTAGTAAATGAGGCTACTGATAAACTTGTTGGACCACAAAATGATACCACAAATGGAGGTGAAATTGGTAGAATTTTTGATGATTATGAAAATAAACTACGCTCCGAACTTATTTTGTTTATAATATTAATCGGAGCATATTTAATAGTAGTTCTTATGGGAGCGATTTATGTGTTGTGGTTCATTTATAAACGTAGGCGAGGAAATAATGAAGAAGAATCCATAGAATTTCGTGAAATTACTAAAAAAGTTACTCAAGATTTGAATAATAATAATACTTATCCGTCAAGTGATATGACAAGTGATATAACTAGTGATATAACAAGTGAGAAGCAATCAACCAGTGAATATGAAGATTATCAAGAGGGACACAGGAGAAAAAAGAGAAAAGAAAAGAAAGAGAAAAAATACAAGAAGAAACGCGGACGGCATAAACTTATTGTATATACCACATAAAGTAATATTATTATAAATTTATAGTAATTAGTTCTCTATATGCAGAGAGTAATTAATTTGACAAACGCCATGGTTGCAAAAAAGATAGGTTTATTAGTCTATTGAGGCATTTTTAAAAAAGCTTTCTTTTATTAAAATTGATTAACGATTAATATAAGTCATTTTTTTAAACCCAAGAAAAAAAACAAATGTCTTAAGTTTTCCAATCCATTTCATAATTTGCTAGAATAAATAATTCCCTCTTGAATTGATTGTCCCTTTAATGATTGTCATGTTCTTCCTGTAGTTTATAACATATTTATGTATAATAGCGCAAATGGATGCTATTTTGGAATTTTGGAATTTCTGCTTTTTTGAAAATTGCTTTTTGATCAAAATAACCCCATGCGTGTCTCCTTTACAGAAACCCATATATTTGCTTAAATATAATTATAATATAATTATTATATTTTAAAATATTACAAAAATAAAATATAATGTAATTATAAAAATATATTATAAAAAATATTGTAAAAATATTTTTATATTTCTGTTATTTTTAAAATATTTTAAAATTATAATTTAAAAAAATTAATATATATAATTAAGATATTAAATATATAATAAACATATTTTTAATAAATAAAAAATATATAGTATTCCGGTTACAGAGATTAAGAAGCAGCACAGCAAAATATATTATATATACTGTAGTGGCACGTTATATCAGTGATGGTAAATGACAAATTCATAAAAATTTTTATAAAAATAGCAATGTCATTTATTATAAAAAAATTTTATATAAAACCATGACAAAATGACAAGTCATAAAAAATATTTTTATAAATGACATTAAAATAACAAATAAATGACAATAATATCAATACATATTTGTATGTATGCAAACAGTCATAAGCTTAATTTGTAATTCATAAAATTATAAAAACAGCAGCCTTTAAGCTAATCTTTATTGTTTTCATCGACTCTTATATTATATATAGTAAGACATTATATTAAGTATAATATGACAACAATTTGTTATAACTGTCTTTTATGTCTTAACAGAGAAATTCCTCATGAAAATTTCAGTATATTATATATATAAAGAGCTATTAGAATAATAATTATTTAACACCAACTCGTAAAATGCCGTTAGAATGATTATTTGATAATAACTTTAAATAGTTGTTAGAATGATTATTTGATATTTGATGTTCCGATGATCTGTTGCTGGTCTACTTTCTACATCTTGTGTATTATGTGAAACGTAGATTGTTCGCTTTTATTCCATGGAATATTGAAAAAAATCTGCAAATTGCCCATTATAAGGCCACACAAACTTATACTATTGGTTCTCATAACCCGGCCGGGTCAAATTCAACAAAAGTTTGAAAAAAATT